TATATATATATATATATATAGCTCTTCACCTTCATTTTCTAACATATTTTGTTATCATTAGTGTGTTTTTTGGGGAGCTCTGGTGCCTAAGGCATTTGACTGCTAACCAGAAGCCAGAGGTTCAAACCCACCAGCCACTCCTCAGAAGGAAGACTGGGCAATCTACTTCCATAGTGATACCACCTCAGAAACCCAAAGAGTGGTCACCATGAGTTGGATCTGACTCGAAAGCAGCGAGTTTGGTTTTTTGGTTTTAATGGGATTTTAATTAGAGGGGATTTTTTTAATAGATAAATTTACCAACTATCTTTTTAACTTGTTAGTGTTTTTTTTCAGATACTTCCTTTGTATTTTTCATTTGTTTCCTGTGAGAAAGATAGGGGAAAATATTCTTATCTCATAGAAGCAGAATTATTTTCCCAGGGAAAGAGTGATTTTCAAGGTGATTATCTGGATAAGTTCCTGGGTGGTGCAAGGGGTTAAAGTCCAGTGCTAACTGCAAAGTCTACACAAAGGCCCCTTGGAAGAAAGGTGTGGTGATCTACTTTCAAAAAAAGCAGCCACTGAGCACATGGAGCACATTTCTGCCCTGACCCACACAGAGCTGTCATGAGTTGGAGTCAAGGCGATGGCAACCAGGTTATGTGAATAGGACAATGGATCCAGATAGCAACCTCAAGGACGTGTCACACAAACTGTTGTTGGCCCCTCATTTAATCAACCTCTCCACTTCTGTTTGCAGACTGGGATTTTCAGGCTTAGGGTAAGAGCTAACTTAGTCAAGGTAAAAAGAGAGGACTTTTTCAGAGGCTGAAAGAAGCTATATGGGAAAGCTCATGGGAAGCGTAAACTTTGGGAAAGAAGACGGCCACGTCTTTAGTGAAGATTCGCACGCAGCCTTGTTGGGTGTGCTGTCGCCTCCCTCTCCCACGCCCACAGGACGTTCAGTAAGAAAGCCACGACAAGCTCATGTTGCTGCAACTGGAGTGATTTACTCTGCGGATGAGAAAAAGCACAAAGTCTGGGCTGAAAGATGGGGCAGGATAAGAGCAGAAGCTGCCCAGAGTCCTATCTGCACCCCCAACACCACCACATTTTGTCTTAAAGGCAAAAGGTCTTTTTATGCTTTTATCTTTTCCTTTGTTTGAGTTTAAATATGCTCATCTTAGCATATGT